TCATGGCTCTTGAACACAGAGCTCATAGTCAAGAATGCACTTTTTGCCTTTCTGATGCGACATTTAATCTCTTGGGTATTATTCCACGACTCATTGATTATTGTTCCCAAGTAGATATATTTTGAAACACGTTAAATTCTCATTTGGTTCACATACAGACTTTCTCCAGTTATGTTTCCTTACTGATGATCATTAGCTTGGTTTTGCTGGTCTTTATATTCAGTCTATATGTTCTACTTGTTTCCGTTATTTTGTTCAATAACTTTTGTAGCCCTTCTATGGTATTGGATTGTATCTATCCTTCTACCTTTTATTGTATCATCTGCATACCGGAGGGTATTGACTCCATTCATTGAGATGACTTTATTAATATATTTTAGAGCCTCTATAACAATGTGCTCTGAGTACAGGTTGAATATAAGTAATGAAATTATGCACCCTTGTCTCACTCACCTTAATATTTTGACCTGATATGTATATTTTCCATCTATTTTGAGCACCGCGGATAAATTTCAATGCAGGTTAGCTATTATTTTTAGGTCTCTTCCATCAATCCCTGTCCTCTTCATCACTTCCACCATTTGTTAATGTCTGATTCCATTGAAGTCAATTAGGCATTCAAAAACATAGCAGCTAACATCTATACATTTCTGAAACAATACCTGCATGCTATATAAAGCTTTTCTGGTATCAACGGAGTTCACAAATCCAAACTGATTGGGCGCAATTTGACCTTCGCATTGTCGGCAAATTCTTTTGCGGATGACTTTTAAAATCAGCATTAGCAGATGGCTCATTAGGCTTATGGTCCTACACTCTTTACAATCTTTTGCTCCTGGTTTTTTGTGCAATGGTACGAACTCTGATTTGAGACACTCTACTGGTAATTTTTCCTGCCTTGTATATTTCATTAGATATTTTTTCCATACTCATGAATAAAGGATATTATAACTGATGTTAATGGTTGACTAACACTAATAAACCAGACATTATTTAAATGTATAGGATATTATACCTACATTTTAATCAGAGAAACTGTATTTGGTAGGCAGATTTATTTTTGTGTAGCGGTTTCCTCGTTATAGTTTTGCTTTCTATGTTAGTTTCTGTATTGTTTTCAGGATAAGAGATGTGGAGCGTATGGGGCATTAATACTTTGGTTTGTCTGAAGGACGTGTTTCTGTCTTTTGTTCTAGTCCTGCCCAAGTTTTAGGAGTGTTACCTAACACAACGTTTGCTATGGAACCTGTTATTTGCATTAAATCTTTTTGGACTAAATCAGATAATATTTCGTCCTTACTCGGTGATTTACAAGGTTTGAGGCTTTTAATGACTTATTTGTTTTTGTTTTTTTGTAAGATTTTTTTTGCTAGTTGCCTATTGGATTTGTTGATGTCCCTCTTAGCATCTGACAGCTAGATACGTTGCGGGACATCTTCTATTATTTATTGAAGGCTAGAAAACAGCTCTCTAATAGTTTTCGTTACGCTCTTAGTATAGTCACCATTTGACTTTTTGATTTCATTTGTGTAATTCTTTGAGAGAACCTTTTATAAGGGCACTTTCTGTAGCAGTTCTAGCTACCTGTATATTTTGCATTATTAAAAAATTGTCTGACTTTTTTCCTAGGTTTCTTTAACTCTCTATTCCACCAAAGAACATCTCTAGTGCTTGTCGTAAATTTAAATTAATAAGTGGATTCACATGCCTTTATTATGGCATTTTGAAGTTGCTATGTGGTTCTATTTAGATTTTCCTCTGTGTCAAGCGACGTATCGAGTTTCTCAATTTCTCATTTTCTCTCATATCAGGTTTATCGAATAAATTTTTATATTCTGTGGATATTGGTTTTGCTACAGCTACTTTTGCTCGCTTTTTAAAAATCTTACAGTTTCAAAGACCTAGAAATAATACTTTCTAGATATACCCTTTCTCACCCTTTAATTTTTCATTTTAACTAGCGTTAACCACTTGTTACTTCTGTTGACAGTTTACGCTCTCACTAACCACCATCTTGTGGTTCATTTCGTCTTTTTATTAACCTACATCTGCATTAAAATCACCTGAATATGCATATAAATATGCATAAAAATGTGATATGATTAAAGCGCTTAAGAGACATGTGTGGCAGAAGCACTACTTACTTACTATCCTTACTACCCAATGAATCATAACGGATAAACTTATATTTCCTACATCTGTGATTGCACAGCTATTAAACGGTCCATTTAAACTGTTTCCACATCATCATCATCATCATCCAACCTTCATTTATCACGTCCAAAGCTAGACATAGGCATCTCTTAAACTCTATTCTTTATGATTTTGTATTCTTTGTTGTCAATTTTTGGTGATTCGCCTGATGTCGTCAGCCCAACCTTTAGGTTGTCTTTCTCTACTACGTTTGTCTGCTCTTGGCCTTCAATTTGTAATTTTGCTCGTCCATCGTGAGTCGTGTATTCTCGTTACATGGCCTGCCCAGTTCCATTTCAGTTCCGCTATGCGTTCCATAGCATCAGAAATACTCGTCCTTTTTCACAGATATCCGTTTCTTATTCGGTTCCGCAACGTCACTCGCAGCATGGACAGTTACATTCGTGTCTATGCCACTCTTAGTTTCGAAGCCGTAGTCTTGGGTAAGCTAAAAATATACAAAGACATGCTGTATATGAACAACAAGAAATTATGAAATTATCGAAGAGTACTGGTAATCATAGCCATACAAAATCAAGGATCAGAGGAACTTCCAGATATAACCGAAGAGGAAATCAAGTCAGCGTTGATAGATATGAAGGACGGTAAATCACCTGGAGAAGATGGCATTGTAAGTGAAATGCTAAAATTAGGAAGCAAATGCGTCATAAAAGCTTTAAAAACCCTTTATAATGCCTGCCTCTTTGAAGGAGTTACACCAGCAAAATGGAATAGTGCCATTATGATAATGTTGTAACAAAAAAGAAAATGTAATAAAAATTGGAAACTACAGATCTATCAGCTTGTTATCTCATTTATATGAGCTCTTTATGAGAATAATTACTTCTAGACTGGAACCTAAGCTGGAATTTCACCAACCATTAGAGCAGGCCAGATTTAGGAGTGGCTTTGGAACAAATGACCACCTACAAGTAATAAAATCCTTAATAGAGAAAGTTACAGAATACAACAAGCTATTCATTTTAATATTTGTAAACTTTAAGAAAGCATTTGACTCAGTCCAGCATAGCTCCATGTTAAGAGCTCTTATAGAATACACTATTGACCATAGGTACACAACTCTTCTTCAGAATATATATGGGCGCAATAGCTGCCGTTAGAATGTATTATGGCAAAACAAATACATTTCCCTTCGAGAGGGGTATTAGGCAAGAATATACCATCTCTCCTAAGCTATTCACCGCTTTGTTGCAGATTAGTATGAGAAACAATAATTGGGAGAATATTGGAGAATTTCTGAACAACTTGAGATTTTCCGACATAGTCCTTATTGCAGACCATCTAGATCATACCTGACTGCTTGTTCAAGGACTTTCAGAGTTCGAGTTGGACTTGTGAAACTGTAATTTGTACTGGCGAAAAACATCTCAACTAACGGCACGTAAATTGAACAGGTGTATAGCTATAAAATATTTGGGCCACGAGATTAAATTAGGAAGAGATAATCAAACAACGGAGCTAAACAGGAGAATAGGTATGGCATGGGCGGCTTACGGAAAACTGAGAGAGGTGGTTAGATCAGATATTCCCATGTGCTTGAAAAGGAAGGTCTTTGATCAATGTGTACTCCCAATTCTAACGTATGGAGCAGAAACATTGACAATTACCAGAAAAGTAATCAATTAAATACAAGTGGCACAGAGAGCGATGGAGAGGTCAATGCTGAATATATCCCTTAGAGACAGAGTATGAAATACAATAATTAGGAGAAAAACTGGTTTTATACTGACGCAATTCAAAGGATTACAACATTGAAATGGAACTGGGCGGGACATGTTGCCAGATTAAAAGATGGAAGGTGGACAAAGAAAATTCTGGAATGGAGACCTAGACACGATGCTTATCGTAATCGAGGACGTCCTCCAACAAGGTGGTCAGATGACCACCAGAATCGAGCGCATTCAGCACAACTGGATTCGGGGTTTTTAAGATTGGAATTATTTACGGGAGGCCTATGTCCTGCAGTGGACTCAAAAGGGCTGGTGATGAAGATGATGATAAGTCTTGGGTAGAGTCATAGGTTCCGCCAGGTAGGTCACGACTGGTAATACGCATCGGCAAAATACTTTTCTTTTGAGGCTAATTGGTATGTTGGAACTAATTGTGTCTTGCAGTATTCCAAAGGCTGGCATGCTAAAGTATTTCGTCTTTGGATTTCGCAGGTTTGGTTATCCCTGCTAATTCTTATTTCGTGACCCAAATACGTATATTTCTCCACCAGTTCTAATCACTTTGTTTTGAATAGATAAATGGTTATTGGGGATCATATTTGTCATAAACTTAGTTTTGGTTAATCCCATTCTGAGGCTCACCTTCGAACATGTAAAGTCCAAATCATTTAACATATCTGCTAAATTATCTGTACTAAAGACAATGTCATCTGAAAACTACTATTTATACATGTTGTACAAGAAATATTATACAATGAGAAAAGGCAGCAAATATTTGATTTCACGCAAACAAATCCTATGTATCTCTTGATACGTATTTCGACCTAATAGGTCTCATCAGAAGAGCTATTCATAGGGCTTCTCAACGTGAAAAATCAATATTTTCTGCCTTTTAAGAAGCAACAATAACATGGCTTCAATACGGACGCAGTAGCGACATCTAATTACAACAATCGTAAAATAGTTTCGAAACACAATTCAGGTATAAATGTATAATTCGAAATATTATACATTTATACATTTCTAACTTTTGTATTTTATAAATTAAATTGATTAATTTACATTATTGTAGTCTATGACAATATCCAACTAATTTATACTTTTATTACTTTTTAGCATTATTAATTTTTATGGTTGGTGGAACCACAATAGTATGGACCTCTCCAGCGATAGTAAAGATGAAATCTAATGATACTAGTATAAATCCATTAGGAAGACCAATACAAACATACGAAATATCTAAATTTATGGGTATAGTAGGAATATTAGCGTTAGGCGGTTCACTAGTTTTACCGAAACTGGCAGATATGATCGGAAGAAAAAGAAGTTTGTGGGTTATGGCGTTTTTTATGTTTGTAGGAATTGTAGGATTGGGTTTAAGCAGAAGCGTTAATATGATGATTATGTGCTCTACCATAACAGCCCTATTTTTCAGCGGAGCCATGGGAATTCTTCCCATGTATTTAACAGAGATATGCGAAGACCACAACCGCACAAAATATGGTTGCCTTATGTCAGCCTTTATACCTATCGGACAATTGTATACGTTTCTCATTGGACCCGTATTTAGTTATAGAGTTTTTACCTTACTAACAGCAGTTCCAATGATTCCGTTTCTGGTTATGTTCCTTTTTGCTCCAGAAAGCCCTGTATACTCTTTAGAAAATGGTAATAAAGAAGAGTGTTCACGAGCATTGAAAAAAACTACGATATAATAAAACTGAAACAGAATTAGATAACGATTTGCGCAAGATTAATAAGGCCTTGAATAGAACAAACAAAACAGGGGGAAATAGTGTGGGAAAACTATTTAGTACTAAAGAAGGGCGTGTAGGAATGCTGTTATCTTTATTACCACTATTTGTTCAATATTTTTCTGGAGTTCCTATTCTAATGATGCTAATGGCACCTATATTTAACAACTCTAGTTCGTTTATATCAGGTAGTACAATTGGTGTTTGTGTAGGGGTCGTGAAAATAATACTTTTTACCACTACTTCGTTGATTGTTGAGAGATTTGGAAGACGGCCTCTCCTACTAATTTCTGCTGGTGGAGCTGCATTACCTGTATCTCTGCTAGGTCTATATTTTTATTTAAAGAAAATAGATTCCCCTTTTGTTTATCAATATCCTTGGATACCTCTGGTTTGTGTTTTGACATTTGTTTCATTTTACTCGATTGGGCTTGGACCAATACCAATAACTGTAATGGGTGAGATGTTTTCTGCTGACACTCGATCAACTGGTTGTGCTATTGTAACTACTTTTTCATCAATGGCTCTTACTATATATGTTTCCGCATATCCTATTTTGGCAGAGTTAGTCGGAACTCATTGGTGTATGTGGATGTTTGGAACTTGCTGTTTTGGGGGTGCATTGTTAATTTACTTTTTATTGCCCGAAACAAAAGGTAAAAGTGTGGTAGAAATACAAGAAATTCTGAAGAATTATTGACATTTGATTAAGATTTTAATAAATTATACACACACAATTTTTTTTATTACCTATATCTTATAATATTATATGTTTTGAATTAGTACTTATAATTGCATCATTACTTTCAGGTGCTTTTAAATACAATATAATAAAGTTTAATAATATTATATTTTTAGTATAATTTTGCATGTATAATAGATATATTCTGCTGGATATTAAAAGAACAAGATTCAGAAAAGATGATGCAACTTACGGAAGCGATATTAACAAAAAAGAATTTAACATGATCATTTCAACTTAAAAAAATAGAAAAATAGTAATCAGTAAAAAACCAATAAGATCCAAACTAAAAGTCGGTCGAATTAGCATTGAACAAGAAGTAAAAATTAACTAGGGATTACAAGTTCCTGAAGGTTTGGGTAAAAATTCTTAAAATGATCATGTGACAATGCCCACGATTGGCTCGACTAATTTTAGGCAGATGGCACTACTGTCATTCGAATGAATTTCGTATATTGCCATGACAGTTGTGAATTGTGAAATCCATGCCTGGCTCACATTGAACAGACAATATTGTGCGTATTCTTATATTTGAGAGTGTTTTTCGAATAGTTTTGTGTATTTCATTATTAAATTAATGTATATAAATAATTTAATAGGATATTATCGTGGGTGGAATTAAAATCGATTTTAGCAATTCTGAAATGCTGACATTTTCACATTAAATTGTCTTTAAGGAATTGGTGATCACCGTCAATATTAACATTTTTATCCATGTGTGAATAGCTGGTACAATTCGATTGGATACTTTCTAAGAATTGGAAATAGTAGTTGGCTAATCTACACCTCAATCACAGAAGAACAAAGCATTATGAGTCTTAGAATCAGACGAGCAATGAGCTGAAGAATCTTCGAGTACATGTCGCTGTTACCCGTTCGTTTGAATCATCTCAACAACGAGAAGTGAGGTTAGAAACTGATCAAATACGTACTACTTATACTTCATCTAATTTTTATACCGATACCATCGATATCATCGGCGTCAAGGCCCGTAACGTCATATGATACCAACAAGAAATATTTTGGCGGTAGGTGTATTCTTTTTTAGAATCACTTTGCCGAGTGCACTGGCAGCCATTTGACATATTTTATTATATACGCGTAGAAATACTATTTAAAAATTTCTATTAATGTTAACTTAAAGAAATACACAATAATATGTTTCATTTAGTTTGTATAAAAGCATTATATAACGTTTTTATGAAGAACATTTGTTCGGAACACACTGTAACTGTAATCGAAGGAAGGCGAAATTTTGACAGTTGCGGTGTTGACACTTTTTGTACTTTATTTTATAGTGAATACCTCTTGTTTGATATTTTAACCTATTTAATAAAATCTGTTCCTTTTAGAACAAAATTGTTGTGTTTTATTTTAAAAATGTCACGTAAGAATTTAAATAATCGTTGCAAAGAGATGGTAATGACTTTTTCAATAACTATGTGATCTATTTGATTTAAAATGGAGTCAGGATTTTTTATACTTTGGCAACTATGTCAACTTCGATCTCTGACGTAGATAATGACGTGTATCGGTGTGTAAATTAGATGGAGTATAGGTTCGTTAGTCTGAGACAACTGAAAAATTAGAAATAAGGCTGCAACATATTCGAATAAGTACTGTTCGATCAAGACGAACACAGCACGCTGATTTAAATCTTGATACATTTAAATATTGCAGTAATAATGATTACAGTCTTTATCGAAGTGTCGTCATTGCAAAAATTAATTAAATTTGCATGTATTGTAGTGTCCTTGAAAAGAACGAAACCCCAGTAATGTGCTACTCCAGTAGAAAAGTTAAACTGCCAGAATTACATCCAGTTGGTACTGTTCCCGTCATAAAAAACTGGTACAACTCTTATATTCAAAAATCGTGTTTTTTAAGTTGTGCACGTTGATCTTGTCACATGTGTCATGAGAAGTCATATACAGGCAAGACTTTAATTTTTTCATTCATTAGGGCAACCATACGATCACAAAATAATATTGCACTGGCTATTGCATCATTTTGAATTGCGGCAAATCTTTTGGATGATTGTGACCGAACAGCGCATTCAGCATCGAAACTGCCGTTGAATTTTTAAAATACTGAGGCACCAACATGCAACATCTGCAAAAACTCTGAAATGGAAATAGTACTTCAAACGTGTCAAATTCTGGGATATAAATGTCTATTAAGAGTCTATATAGGACAAATATACAATATCTCACAAAAAAAGCATTGGAAGTGCTTAATTGTACACTGCGAGATTTGAGAGCAAACGCATGGATCTTCGGATCTTCGGTGGCACACTCATTTTATTATCCGGAGATTTTCGATAAAAACTGCCGGTTATATCACTTTTAACATCCGATAACTTAATACATGTCTCAAATCATCAGTTTTGTGCCGCCATTTGCAGAAATTGACTTTGAAAAGAAACGCGTGTATCTACAACGGAATACACCGGCTGTAATTTTTCCAAAACAATTAGTGGATATTGGAAATGGGCGACTGCAAATGGATGATTTTATGCGTTGATCACCTTGCCAGCAAACTTCTATAAGTTCACAGAAAGCGTAGACCAATTGGTGCAAAAAGTTTTTTCAAAAATTTCACAGAACTACAAAAATCATCAGTGGCTCAGTACTCGTGCTATATTAGCGGCCAAAAACATCGATGTCAATACAATTAGCTTAACCATTTAGAATGGCATATCCGGCGCAACGACAATGTATTATTTCATAGATACTGTGGTGAACGTCGGTCAGATAGCTCAGCGGGCTGTGCGGCTGCCTCTCATTCGCTTCACTGTCGAATGGTTCAGTGGATGTAGGATCGAGCCCCAGCTCGGTGTACAGAAAACAAAAAGTCTAACGCAGCAGTTTAAAAGTCTAGATGAATCTGCGGCTTAGACTAGAATATGCTGGGATCTGATCGGCCTATGGTGGAGCAGTACGGCAAGAGATAAGGCTTGCGGCTCGGTGATACTCCTCCATAGATCCCTACCGGACGGGCGTAATGCCTAAAAAAACCGGATATATATATATATAATATATATATAATATATATATATATATATATATATATATTATATATATATATATATATACTGTGGTGAATCAAGACGAAGTTGTCAATTATTATTGTTGTCAAATGTTAAAAATTGGCATACAAATCATACTTCTTTGAGAAACGTAAACCCACGATGACTCTTAGTCAAGAAGATAATGAACAACGTTAGTGAACAGAGCTGAACTGGCTGAGATCCCGTATTCTATGTTATCACATGTATCTCATAACATATATAAACAATTAACATTTCTAGTAAACCTTTCATTTCAGGAAGGGATTTTTCCTCAAATTCTAAATACTGCTTTAGTTGTGCCTATACATAAAAAGATGACAAATTAAAATTTGATAACTATCGAGGCTTATCACTTTTGTCTGTGTTTTCAAAAATATATGAGAAGGCATTTCATACATGTCTCCTTTCGTATATTAGAAGGCACAACATTATAGAAAAGTCTCAATTTGGTTTCCGTAAATGTATAAGTGTGCAAGATGCACTACTAGCGCTGTGCAATCATATTTTATCGAACTTTGATAAGGGTAATAAGGGTAATTTTTGACTTAGCACGAGCTTTTGAAACCGTACATCAGCCAATACTGCTGGAATAACTTTATCATAGTGGTGTTAGAGGAACCGCGTTAAAGTGGATCCAAACCTTTTCATCAAAAAGGTTTCAAAAAATTAAGGTCAATGTGAATAGGAATATAATATTTTCTTTCAGAAGAAAGTGTCCTCTCCGGAGTTCCACAGGAAAGTATCATTTGCCCTCTTTTATTTTTGATTTTCGTCAATGATTTAAATCAAATGATAAACGATAGCTCAATATGTTTGGTTCGGAATCCATTAGATAATTTTTCTGATGTAATAAGCGTTCAAGTAGAAAACTTAGAACAGCAATCAGGCTGTTATGTTACTTAATTTGCTGACGATACTACAGTTGCACTAAATTCCATTAATTTTTTTCATATACTATAAAAAGCAAACTGTCTTGTAAAAAGTATGACCCATTACTATTTAAATAATGCCCTAATCTTAAATGGATCAAAGATCAATATGGTATGATAATTTTCACCTTCTACTATGCAGATGAGTTCATTAGTAAAGCTTGACAATGGGTCTGTGGTAAATAGCCACTCCACTAAGTTGTTAGGTGTTTACCTGGATTATAATTTGCCTTGGAGTTATCACGTTGATTATGTAGTGGGAAGATTGTCTGTACACTGTTCTATGACAAATTAGAAATTTTGTCTCCCTAGATATCTTAAAACTTTACTATTTTGCTCATGTACAGTCAATTTTGTAATATTGCTTAGTTTGTTGGGGAAATTGCTCGCAAATTAATGAGGTGCTTGTTTTGAAACCAGTTTTTAAACAATTAAATATTTTAACTGTAATTTCGCTGTATATTTTTAGTTGTCTTGTTTATGTAAAGTCACATGATATCACATGATTTCAAATGATGTTTCATTAATGAGTGGCTACAATTTTCGTTACAGAAATGATTTGGTGTCCCCTGCTCGTCAAATGCCCCCTGACTGTCAAATATTTATGTATTTAAGAGAACAGTTAAGGACTTACTTCTGGTAAACACTTTCTATCCGTTAGAGGTATACTTGCTGGCATCTTTTTAACAATTTGTATGTTTTTGTGTATACTTATGTTTATGTGCTTATAGTTTTTACTTTTTTTACTACCTATGTACCTATAGTTTTTTAGATTGTATTTTTACGCATTTCAATACTTATAAAAGTCAGATGAAATAAGGAATATTGATTGATTGATTGAGAATGAAAGAAGGAAGAATTCCCAAAAAAGTAACAAACACTAAAGACACCTCCGAAGAAAATGGACAAAATCGGTAGAAGAAGATCTAAAATTTTTAAGGTTACAAGATTGGAATAACTTAGAGCATAAGTTAGAAATAAATAGAAGCAAACTTTTGCAGGCTTGGGCTTCTAAGGCATGCTGAGCCAAGCTATATAAGTATGTATCTGCGATATGTCCAAATGTTTTATTTAATCTAGAGAGTTTAAGTAAGTTTTACAGAATTCATTTGTTTTGATTATATGTACTATTATCTATATCTTTGTGCAAAAATATATTAGAACACGCAGTATGTTTTAACATATAACAAAATACTTTAATTAAACAGCAAATATTTACTTTATATTAAATTCAACTTTTAAAGCACTTTAATAAAATAAGGTAGTATCTTTGAATTATGTTCTTAAGTAATTCTAAAAAAAAAATAATAAAATATATCACTTATAGCCGTCTCAGAAGATTCTACTGAAAAAAGTTTGTCATTTATTAACACTACAGCAAAATGGATGATGGTAAAGGTTATACTCCAATTCTTGGAAAAAATGTTTTCCAGGAAGTAAAATATTCTCCAATAGAATTAAATCAAGCTAAAGATGAAATTAAAAGGCCAGATACTTTATTTTTATATTTCACAGTCATGACAGGTAAGGACCGTAAAGTTGTAGTAGATTAAAGAATACTTGAAATAAGTACAAACAATAATTTTTCTTGTTTGTTTTGTTTTGTTTTGTTTTTATTCATATTTATTCTTAATGTACGTACCCACACATGTTTATATTAAGAACACTATTTATAAGTATTTATTTCAATTATGGTACATTTTACAATTTTAGACAAACCCTCTACTTTATCTATCATTATTTTGCTCGAGACTTGTCCAAATTGTACAGTTGTTTTATTACAATATTTTATATATTTCAGAAACAGTTGCATAAATGTAAGTTAATAAAATAATGCCATATGTATTTAAGTATTAACACGTTACATGCCTCGCTGAGACAATCGAACCAGCACCAGCTTATTTTAATGGCCACCATTCGTCCGATGGGACCAGCACAAATATTTAATCGTTTTAGGCCGATGGTTTAAATGAGTGTTTATTGTTTTTTTTTTCACTGACGGGACCAGCAAGGCTTCATATAATATTACTTTAATATCAGTTTGAGTGATTTGTAAATATAGCAATTTGTGGTCCCGGTCTCAAAATACGCAATATAAAAAATACACAATGTTATTTATTTGTTTTTTTTTTTAAGTAAAAAAAACATACAGACTTCAGCTAGTTATAATACTTTTAGAAAAACAACAAATATAACTTATTAGCAGTACAAAAACACATTTTATCAACTACCTAGAAGACGAGTATACACGTGGAAATATTAATTCAAATAGATTATATAACCATAAACAAAAGATATAAAAACACATTCGAATCTATGAAAACGTACCCAGGAGCAGATATAGGGTCAAACCACAATCCAGTAGTGGCACAATTCCGAATAAAACTTAAAAGAGTACAAACACCTAAGCCCAAACAAGTAATAGAAATCAATCGTTTAAAGGATGAAACAATTAAACATCAGGTAGAAACAAGCATTCAGGCAAATCTTCAAAACTTGAAAAGACAGAGAAGATACCAGAACTAGACATTGATAAACACTGGGCCCTTATTAAATAGAACGTGCTGAAGCCCGCTAAAAATATTCTGAAGAGAGATAAACCAAAAAAACAAAAAGAATGGATGAGTGACAAAATTTTGTTATTGATGAACTATCGAAAGGTAAAAGTGAAGAACAGTATAAGCAAATTAAACACAGAGATCAAAAGAAAAATCTGCGATGCTAAAAAACAATGGTTACAAGACCAATGTAAGGAGATTGAAAACTTGGAAGCCAAATATGATTCGTTGAGAAATGATCAACAATAGAAACAGGAAGCAGACAGTACTTATGGATCAACAAGGAAACATGATAATGGAAACAGAGGTGAAACTAAAACATTAGCAGACATACATAGAAGAGCTGTTTGACGATCAAAGGCAGCCTCCTTGTGATAATTTTTCAGAGGAGACAGCTCCAGAAATATGCAAAGAAGAAGTAATGCAAGAGGTAAAGTCATCAAATAATAGCAAAGCTCCAGAACCAGACGAGCTACCAGCGGATATACCAAAGTTGATAGACGAAAATCGAATCCATTTGTTCTTCTTCTTAGAGTGCCGTCTCCCTACGGAGGTTGGCAATCATAATGGCTATTTTTATTTTAGAACTTGCTGCTCTAAACAAATCAATCGATCTGCATTGGTACCAATCACGTAGATTCTTTAACCATGAGTTCTGCCTTCGGCCAACAGATCTTCTTCCTTGAATCTTTCCCTGTATTATCAGTCTCAAAATTTCATATTTTGGTCCCCTCATCACGTGGCCTAAGTATTCCAGTTTTCTGGTTTGTATAGTGGTGATTAGTTCTGTTTCTTTACCAACCCTCTCCAGTACTTCTTTATTTGTAATTCTATCAGTCCATGATATTTTCAATACTCTGCGGTATAACCAGAGTTCGAAGGCCTCGATTCTTTTTAAATTACATTTTTTTAATGTCCAAGTCTCAGCTCCATATAATAATATTGAAAATATATAACAGCGAATGGTACGTAGTCTGATCTCCAAATTTAGATTTTTGCACGTTAGGAGTGGCTTCATTCGTATAAATGCTGATCTGGCAATCTCTATTCGTCTGTTTATTTCTACAGTATGATCATTGGTTTCATTGATCAAAGTTCCCAAATACTGATATTTTTCTACTTGTTCTATCACGTTACCATTTATTGTCAATAGGTGATGTATATTTTGTGGCCTTTTTGTAATCAGCATGTACTTCGTTTTTTTAGCGTTTATAGTAATTCCATCTAATCAATTTGTTAGTAAAAGTATTTAACAAGATTTATGAAAACAGTATAATTCCTGAAGAATGGCTAAGATCAACCTTTGTCCCTCTTCCCAAGAACGAACATGCTAAGCAGTGCAGTAATCATCGCACGACCAGTCTGATGAGCCATACCTTAAAAATATTACTCAAAATAATTCACAATAGAATTTACAGAAAATTGGATATCGGAGACACTCAGTTTGGATTCCGGGAGAGATATGGAACTCGCGAAGCAATATTTACCTTTAACATCTTGACACAGAAGTGTTTGAATATGAATCTTCAAGCATGACCAACTTTTAGAGATCTTAAAAGCTAAACAGTAAGACACTCTAGAATAATATCTACTCTGTATTATAATCAGAAGGCAGTTGCACGCATCGAAAATAGTAGAACAAATGAAATTAAAATTAAAAAAAGAGTTAGGCAAGGATGTGTGTTGTCACCAATGCTATTTAATCTCTTTTCTGAAGAAATTATGAATAAAGCATTGAAGGAAGAAGAGACTGGGATAAAAGTTAACGGCCAACTAATTAATAATATAAGATACGCAGATGACACGGTTTTAATAGCGGAGACAGTAGAAGACCTGCAAGCCATAATAAACAAGGTAGTCACAGCTAGTGAAGAAAAAGGTTTAACAATGAATCTCAAGAAGACGAAATTCATGAATATTTAAAAAAAAAAACAAAGATTGAATGCAAACCTGTACATTCAAAATAACGAAATCGAACGGCTGCACAAATGTAAATACTTGGGAATAAGTGTTAATAACAACAATGACATCACAGAAGAAATAAAAACTAGAATTGGAAAGGCTCGAGCTACTTTTGTTAATATGAAGGACATTCTGGGAAGTCATTATATTAACCTAACCCTGAAAATGAGATTGGTTAGATGCTACATCTTTTAGATACTGCTGTACGGAGTAGACTTGGACTTTAAACAAGAGCAATATCGATAAACTATAGGCCTTCGAAATGTTGATATATAGAAGAATTTTGAAAATACCTTGGACAGACAAAATAACAAATAGTGTTGTTCTTCGAAATGTTGATATATAGAAGAATTTTGAAAATACCTTGGACAGACAAAATAACAAATAGTGTTGTTCTTCGAAGAATGAACAAAGAACAGGAGCTGTTGATCACCATCAAGAAAAGAAAGCTAGAATATCTTGGTCATGTGATGAGAGGGAAAAAGTACCGATTGCTCCAGTTAATTATCCTAGGAAAGATTCAGGGCAAACGAATCGTTGGGAGACGACGTATATCTTGGCTGCGCAATTTAAGAGACTGGTTCCAATGCACATCTAAGCAAATTATTTAAAGCAACAGCATCAAAGATACGAATAGCAATTGTAACGATAAGAGTTCTTTATCGTTACTGAAAAATTTAAAATAACTTAATTCTGCCAGTAAGGTATGCAACCAACTATACATGTAATGGTGTTATCAATTGTTTGTCAATTGGTCAAACTGCCTACCTGCCGTTTCCGTTTACCTTGGAGCTGACGGAAGCGAACGATTTTAAAATTGTAAGAAGGCACTTTATATCCAGCCTTTGAACGGGACAGAGGACTGATATTCTGATGACTGTTATTCTTATATTTCCTATTCTTTACTGTTTTCTCGGGGCATGCAAATAGGCCTAACCCTACCTTGAGTATCAACTGGCCAGTCTCAGGCATACCCAGCTAGCCGAACTGCATTCAGTTTCAACTTTTATTTTAATTTAGTTCCAAACTTATCTCTACCCTACTCTACAGTTCTCATAACATCAGGGACCTGGTCCCAAGTGATCTAGCTACTATTTGTTACAGTAGCGCCCAAAGTGTGGCAATATTAAAATTTTGTTACAGTGGCGTAGTCCAACGTGGAGCCCAGATTTTCGGTAAGATAGTATTCCCTAATTCATTAGTCGTTTTAAAACTGTTTCTGGTTTGTTTGTCTATTTTTAAATATTTTGTAGTTATTTAGATCTAGTTTTCTTTGATATAGTATCTGGAAAATATTTAATAGTGTCTTATATTGCTGTGTTGGTGGTTTTGATAACTTTAAATTAATAATTAATTAATGAAATGAGGTTGAATGCTCGAATAAATGAACTTTGAAAATAAGGCTATTAGTTAATTAACTTGTGTTCAATAATAGCCTTATTTTCAAAGTTAATAATTAATTGTAAACCTTCATTTAGTATAATATTTTGGATAATTACATTGGTTTGACATTTCTATTTTGATGGGGTTAGTGATACCTGTATATTTGTTGAGAAATATTGAATGATTTATTGTATTACTAATTACATTGTTATAAGCCAATAGTGGTTTTGTTTAGGTGCGATCACACTATATAATATATATTTTTTTTGGGTCAGTTATTGCATACTATATATAAAAATAAGTTTAATTTCCTTATTGTCAATTGATCTCTAAAATCAAATTTAAATTATTTTAAATATATTTATATTTAAAGGTATAGGTATACCTTTATTAAGTTACATTTGGTTTAGCACATTGTTGATTTTGGTTTGTTGGTGATATTTTTTTATTCCTCTCTTTCATCATGTGTATCTTTAAGGCTGAGCATTTATTAGTTAAGGAAGTGGATTATGAGCTGAGGATAAGGGGAATTCCCTTTGAGGAATCTACCAAGGTTGAGAAAAAGCACCAATTATTGCGCGGTGCCTTGCAACAAGAGCTAGAAAATAGGATTTTTCGACAAATTTCTTCTGTAGATATTCCTTTTCTGGAACAACAACAGGAGATAAACCAGACGTTGGAAGACCTGGCTCAAAGGATATCCGATTTTAGAGGGACTGTCCATGATAGCATTATTTAAGGTTAATTTCACGTCTTGCTCATATCTCTAGTCGTGCACATTTACTATCTTGCTCAGATAAGGAGCAACAAATTTTCAAGTGCTCTATTTTCATTAGAATTCTTAGTTTAGAAGGTGAACTTGATTCTCGAGTAAATCCGGCAGCCACTTCCACTCCTATTTCTTCTGTTCATGCAACTAATTCATTTTCACACCCCAAACCAATTCAGGTACATAAGTGGGGAATTTTGTTTTATGGTCAAGGTCATCATGATGAAGTCATTACCTTTTTGGAGATAATGGAATGTCTTCGTATTTCAAGAGGTGTGAGTGAGGGTGATCTGTTTGCAGCTTCTGCTGAATTATTTACAGGTCCTGCGTTTACTTGGTTTATGAACAACCGTCATAGCTTTTCCACTTGCTCTGAGTTGGCTCAGAAATTAAAATCTGATTTTCTGCCTTATTCTTTCCAAGATGATTTCTTAGATGAAATCAAAAACCGTAAACAAAAGCCAAACAAACCTGTCACTATGTTTATTAACACCATTTTGGGCATGTATAGTCGACTTGAGACTCCTCTATCCGACTTTGCCAAAATAAAGATCATTCTCAAATGTCTGTTGCCTTTTTACCATCAGAAATTAGCTTTAATGGACATTCAGAGTATAAAAATTTTGTTACACAATGATGATTGCCAAACTCCGTAGTGGAGAGGGCACTTAAAGAAGAAGAAGCAGTACACAGGTCATACTTAGGTAAATAATTATGAATTGGTATCAAAAAAAAAATTTAGCACGTGCAAAACTAGTCAATTATTCTTACTGTTTACAGGACAATGTAAAATTTCTAAATTACATCAGACAGGGAACGTGTTAAATATTTTATCAACTTTAATCTTTTTTACTTCGATATTCGTAAGGGTCTAGGACGTATCGATTAATGCCACAAATCTGTGAGTAGTTTTTCTTACAGATTTGTGGCATTAAGTCTTATTTTACTTATAAAGTTATGGATAATTTCATACTTTAATTATCCTGTGTTATTTTTTTAGTAATGTTGACAGCGCTAGTGTGTGGAAGTACGTTAGGATGGACATCTCCAGCAATTGTTAAATTAGAATCTAACGATACCAATATAAATCCACTGGGGAGGCCAATAACATCCTATGAATTATCCAAGTTTATGGGCGTTGGTGGAATACTCTCGCTAGTAATTTCAATATTTCTACCAAAACTGGCAGACCTAATCGGCAGGAAGATGAGCATATTTTGGATGACTGTAATTATGTTTATAGGTATAATAGGATTAGCCTTTAGTAAAAACGTTGATGTTATGACCGCTTTCAGCGTCGTCTTAGGTACAGCTGTAAATGGATTATTTAGTATGATGTCAATGTATCTAACAGAAATTTGTGAGGATCACAATCGTGCAAAATTTATTTGTCTCATGTCAGTATTCATACCTGTTGGTGAACTTGTTACCTTTATAATTGGTCCAATGTTCAGTTATAAAATATTTACAATAATAATGGCAGTACCATTGATCCATTTATGGTACTATTCCTTCTTGCTCCTGAGAGCCCAGTTTATAGCTTACATAACGGAAGAAAAGAAAAGTGTATACAAGCAATAAAAAAATTGCGTAGCAATAAAACTGAAGTTGAGTTTGAGCAGGATTATTTTAAAATTATAAAAAGTTTAGAAAATAATAATAAAAGTAAGGGATTTAATTTTAGAAAACTTTTTGGTACTAAAGAAGGACGATTAGGTATATTAATAGCGTTTATTCCAATTTTTGTTCAGCAAATATCTGGATTTCCTGTGATAATGACACTATTGGCACCTATATTTAATGAGTTTACATCAGAAATTTCCGGGGATACTGTTGCTATATGCGTAGGTGTGGTAAAGGTGACGTTAGGTATAATTACATCAATGATAGTGGAGAGATTTGGAAGACGATCACTGTGCCTGATTTCAGCTGGTGGAGCAGGAATACCTATGTTTCTTCTAGGAGTATTTTTCTATTTGAAATATATAAATTCACCCTTAGTATACCAATATTCGTGGGTACCACTAGTTTGTATTTTAATATATACTTTATTTATATCCATAGGACTTGGACCAATTCCTATTACCTTGGTAAACGAAATGTTTTCTTCTGATATAAGGTCCACAGGATGTGCGTTTGTTATGACTGTAGGGTTTCTTAACGTAACGATTCTAATCAGTGTCTACCCGATTGTGGCAGAACTGATAGGAACGCATTGGTGTATGTGGACGTTTGGAATATGTTGCATGATTGGTACACTTGTTATTTATTTCATGATGCCTGAAACCAAGGGAAAAAGTGTGGTCGAAATTCAACAACTACTTAAAAATTATAAATTTATATCCGAATAAAGTTTAAAAAAACCGTAATATTTAATTTCATGGAAAAATGCTATTTTTGTAATTTTTTAATGTCAAGATATTTTCCAAATTCCTAAATTTTAATCAATACTATTATATTTTATGAATTATGGGGATTACAAAAATTATCAGGCAAGTTTAGACTATAACATCGTATAAAATAAATTCAGATTTAAGCCACGCGACTCTCATTACTTTTAAGGCCAAAATGTGTAACAAAAACGTGTTGCGCCTCGTTAGGCGCTACTGTAACAAAATGTAACAAAGATTACTCAGGACAATGTCCCTGATGTGATAAAGATCTGTAGAGTAGTAGTGAAGATAAGTTTTAAACTAAGTTAAAAATAGAAGTTGAAACTGAATGCAGTTCAGCTAGCTGGTTATGCTTGAAACTGTCCAGTTGATACTCGAGGTAGGTTTAGGCCTATTTGCATGCCCTAAAAAAACAGTGTAGAATAGTAAATCTAGATATTAACTAAGAAAATATAAGAATACGGATAAATAAAACGAACTAAGAGTACAGACAACAGGAATGAACTAAAGAAGAATGGTTAGGGCGCCAGGGAAGATATTTACTGGACTCTTCGTCCAACAAGCACTTCACCTAGTGACTTTATTGCTGCTGATAACTATGATTTTCTGTAACTAGATAGCAAATTAGGTGAACCGCAAATCCAAAGTCTCTTGCGAGAGGCTTTTAACGACGCTAGAAGTATCCTTTTACTTCGACATGTATCTAGGGTTCACCTTTGAAAATTACCATATTTTTCGCACCTCATCTTTAACAGAGAACTTCTTGTTATTTCATATAGATATCGCTGCTAGCGTACCCTGGCTGTTATTTTGGTTATAATGACCAAATACTAGACTGCATTTCATTTAAGTTGTACTTCCACAAGACCTCCTGACGATGGGTTGAATAACCCGAAACACGTGTCGGGCAATGGTGGAGTTCCGATTGAAATGAATGCAATCTTTCACTTTCATTTAAACGTCTTTATCTACGTAAAGAGCAAAAAAGATGGTAATTTTAAAAGGTGAATCGTAGATGCATGTCAAAGTAAAAGGATACTTCTAGCGTCGTTAAAAACCTCTAGCAAGAGGCTTTGAATTTGCGGTTCACCTAATTTGCTATCAGAGAGGTCTCTCGGCTTCTTGTTATTTAATTTTATTCTCGTCGAAAATTTAATGTTCGACGTTTCGGCTCCCATTTTGGAGCCATTATCAAGAGGGATACGGATCGGTTCGAGTTCGGAGTCTCAATCTGCCTACTCCCCTCACTCGAGACGTACCAGTATCGTGTTTTGTATTATAAATATAAGAACTGTCTCTCGGCACTGAGGTCTTAATCTGCCTACTCCTCAGTGTCCTCGGTGTGGGCGGGATCTCGCTGAAGCAGGGATCGCCATGTTGTCATGCAATCCATCTGTTGCCGGCAATCGTTTCATGATGCTAAGATTAATACTATTATAAAAATTAATATTAAACTCACCAGTCTTCCGGATTGAACCGCGTCGATATCCGTTGGGCTGAGAAGATTCTGAGGATTTTGGATAAGGATCTGAGGATTCCGAAACTTCAAATATTGAGCAAGATATTGTGTCGGATTGGGGCGTACTTGCTGGAGATCCCAAAGACTTTAATTTTGAAGGGGGACATTGGTTTGATCAAAGAAGTACAAGATATGAGAAGTGAAGATATATTTGCTTACTATAAATTATTTCTTGATGAGAAGCTAATAAATACTATAGTAACCGAAACCAATTTTCATGCGGAAGAAACCATAATAAAAGCCAGTACGGAAGAGACCCTCATGTCGTCTTCTAGACTAAGTAAATGGACCGAAGTGACTCGCGAAGAAATGTATTGTTTTTTGGGTTTTCTGCTATGGATAGATTTAGACAAAAAACCGAAAATCGCAGATTATTGGAAACATTCTGAAATTTATTGGTCTGACGCGGCAAATCGAATGTCTCGAAACCGCTTTGAAAATATTCTAAGAATGTGGCATTTCGCTTACAATGAACAGTCCAAAGAAGGAGACCGACTTAGCAAAATTCGATTCCTGGTTGACTTCATAAATAATAAGTTCAAGAAAGTTATCCTTTTTAAAGAAAATGTCTGATGGTACCCTTCCGAGGACTCTTAATTTTTCGACAAGATGTCAAAGGAAACCGGCATAAATTCGGAATTAAGCTTTTTAAAACTATGTCTCCCTGGAAGATATACTTACCATTCTAATATATTGGGAAACAGAAAAATCAAATGATATGCTGGTGGCCACTAAGATTGTTTTTGAACGGTGCTGGTATACCAGCACCGAATTAGCAAAAAAATTACTTGAAAAAAAAAACCATCTTTTCGACTCACTGAGAAAAAATAGGAAAGGTATTCCAAAAGAAATTTTGTCGACAAAATTGAAAAAAGCCAAAATTATAGGCAGGGAGAAAGATGGCATAGTTATATTCAAATGGAAAGATAAAATGGATGTGTTTTTAGGCAGAATAAAAAAATTTAAACCCAAGGCAGCTTGAATAAAATATGAGGGTTTGTCTCATATTAATTTGATGTGATGTTCTATATTTCCTTCTAGGTTGCTGGTATGCCAAGAAATTGCGGGTAAGGTAACATGTGTGATATTATCAGGTTCTTCCTTGAGGTAATAACCTCAAGGAAGAACTCAGGTTTGATAAGTTTGATCTTCTGAGGAGGTTGACTCAGACAGACAATTTTTTGATCTGTTTGGATCAGAAAGAACTTTGTGATTAAGATATTCTGAGGGGTTCACCTCAGATAGAAATTGATAATTTTCTGATCTGTTTGGATCAGAAACAAAGTTATGTTTAAGATATTCTAAGGGTTTTACCTCAGATAGAGATTGATACTTTTCTGATCTAGTTGGGCCAGAAACAAAGTTATGATTACGATATTCTGAAGTGGTTGCCTCAGCTGGAAATTGATACTTTTCTAATCCAGTCAGATCAGAAACAAAGCTATGTTTATGATATTCTGAGGGGTTCACCTCAGATAGAGCTTGATAATTTTCTGATCTTTTTGAATCAGAAGCAAACTTACGTTTCAGACATTCTGAGGGGTTTGCCTCAGAACAAGATTGATAGTTAAGATATTCTGAGTTAGTAGCCTCAGATGGATATTGATAATTTTCTGATCTAGATGGATCAGAAGCCACGTTATGATTGTTTGAAGAGTAAAAGATATCACTAGATGCAGTGTGGTTGATTTTCGGAATGTTTACAGCCCTGGCAGGGAATTTTCCTGAAATTACCCAGCCAAGATGTGTATTGTTAAGAGTGGGCAGTTGAAAACCTAATTTGCACACTCCTGGTTTGATAATTTCGCTAGTGATTTCTGCACCTAATAAAACATGCACTTGAGAAGGGATATTAAATTCTTTATCTGCTAGATTTGATTGTATGTGCTGAGGAATTTTTAATGAATTTTTATTCAAGTGAATTTGAGGCAAATGTGAAGTTATTTCCTCAACTACAGCAAAGGTTGTTGTGAAAAACATCGCAGGTTCCTGATTAGATTGAAATGTAAGATCTATAAACTCGTTAATTGCCTTGTTAGATTGACAAATACCTGCGACATTACACTTTTTGAAATAAGATTGAATGTTTAACTGATTTAATAATGATTTAGTTATAAAAGAAATTTGGCTTCCACTGTCCAAAAGTGCTTTAACTATGACTGCATGATTTTGAATTGATTTGAATTGAACTTGAGCTGTAGCTAGCAGTAACATAGCTGTGTGTAGCAGTGGAGTTAGCAGATAAAGAATGTTCTAATTGTCAACATGTTTGATTAAAAGTTAATGTTTGATTTGCCCTTTGATTTTGATCCATCTTAGGCGGAGATATTGAACAATTGGATTCAAACTGTGCACTTGTTTGCTGCATTAACGGAGAATCCTGAGTAGCATTTGATAAAGATGATTCGTGTAATAATGAATTATGTCTTTTATTACAATAAGAACAATTTGATCTAGATAAACAGGTTGTGGCCGCATGATTTCGACCTAAACAATTAATGCATAATCTGTTTTGATTGATGTATGTTTGTCTATCGATTATGGACAATGATAAAAATTTAGGGCATGAATTAATCCTATGAGTAGATTCGCTGCACATCGCACAAGTTACTTTTTTACCTGGTGAATTGTTGATAGATTGATTGTTTATGTTTGATTGTTGGCTGTTGTTTGATTGATAGTTTCTGTTAGATTGATGGTTTGTGTTTGATAGTTGATTAGCAGTATGCAAAGACACTTTGGGTAAACTAGACTTTGTTGGTGAAGTCCTACTTTGTTTAAATTTCCTCTCATGATGTGGGCTTCCCGGTTGTACCTCTGTTTGTACCGCTTCCAATACCGTACAACGTCTATTTAAAAAATCAAAAAGTTGAGCTGGGGTACTAAGAGAGTTTGGTGTTGCTTGCTCTTCGAAAGCTTTTCGCGATTGAAAATCTAGTTTAGAAGTTAGTATTTGAGTAATTAAAGCCTCAAAGAGCGTGTCTTGTTGATGACCCAAAGTGAGTAATGATTCATAGATAGATTGTGTATTTGTAATAAATGGTTTCAACGTGCTTAGGGAAGTTTTGGTTATTTCAGGTGCCTTCAACAGTTGCTGAAAATGGTTTGATAAAACTTGTCTGATATTGTTGTATTTTGAATCTAAAAAATTCAATGCAACTGTGAAATTGTCATCTGAAATCTCTAAATTCTCAATCAGTTTGAGAGCTTCCCCACTTAAATGTGATCTCAGATAAAAAAGTTTCTCCGAAGGTGACCCCAGATTAGAATTGTTCGTGATTAAAGCATTGAAAAGATTGATAAAGGATTTGTATTCTAGATTATCCCCTGAAAACTTGGGAATTTGAATCTCCGGAAGTTTCAGACGTGAAGCTATA